TTCTCTGCAGCAGCTACGCCCTCAGGCTTTGCATTCGAGCTCGAAGAGGGAGCAGATGAGGTCTTTATGACAAGAGCTAGGCCGTTATGATCCCTGCACAGATCGAACACGAGTCCTACACGTGCCTTAGCTACAGCTCTCAGATGCCTCGAAGAAGAAGTGATGCCTCGGAAAACCGAAGTCGCTTATCAAGGTGATGCCGTTGTCCACACCAGAGAGCTCGGATCATACAGTCTTCCAGGAAGCTACATCCACCTTGGCTTCTTCGAGGAGGTGTGATCGGAACTGCTGCCTTCACCAGGCCGGGATGGACGTCATGGGACCAAAAGGAGCCAGCACGCTCACCAGCAACTGATAGATGATAAACTAAAATGTCAATAAACTTCACACTAACAGTTAGGATCACCAGCAACAACATCACACGAATACACAGGCTCGGCGCGTAGGGTAACTAGCTTCGTGGGCGAGCGCGTCACGGTATGCGCTTCCGCGAGGATCTGGACTGTTGTCATGCGATCCAAAGCAGACTGTCTGGGTGAGCAGAGTGTCGAAGACCCGAACTCAAAGCAGACCCAATTGACTTCTCATACCGCCTCTTACGGTCCTTACGAAAGGCATAGCCCCTGCCCTGAGCAATCCTAGACACGGGTATAGTATGGTCAGTGTAATCCACCATAGTATTAGAGTTCTTACCACTTCTAGTCAATACCATAAATTATTGAACTCAATATCTGTCGCTCGACAAATACCATATACTATCCCTCAGCTATTGATGGAAGCGTAACCACTAGCGGGTATACAATAATAAAACCATATACCTTAGACCCTGTGCGTAAGTCCAGGCTCCAAGGGAAGATCCAGAGAATCAACTTCAGAACCAACCTTAAAGCCTTACGTGTGACGCGCCCGCGTTCAGGCAGGAATAACAGACGACACGCATGCACAGACCATGATTCGCACGAAGCAATATAACAGCCGTAACACAGTAGAACCGTAATGAAATGATATCATACTAACGGTATAGCATAATCACACGTTAGCAGGGCTTCTGTTCGCGCGCGTATGCACGAGTCTCGCTCGCCCATTATTCGTTGCATGAAACGGCTCGCAGCCCTCAGGCTGAGATGGATAAGATAAGAAGCCTTATTACCTATTATGGCTATCCCAAGTGTTGTTGAGTCAACCAATGCGGGTGTTACTACTAACATGGTGGAGAACCCGCTGGCTGAGCTCCTTGAAGTCCTCGGTATTGCTGAACCCTCACTACTACTATGGTTATCTGCCGCAGAGTTAGAGACTGCTATGGAAGGCCAACCTCTTAGTAAGAAGGTCTATCTACGACGTACCCTGTTAGAGGCATCCTCCTCTATCGTGCTATCCCTGATTGACGTATCGAACTCAGACATGATAAGGCTTATGAAATAGTCTCGTGAGAAGACGAGAGACTGGAACCCACAACCGGGGAGACGCCCCCCCGCTCCCCCTCGCCGCGTCACGTCACCATAACGTGCCGTCACAGTTGCAGCACACGATGCACGAACGCTAGCTGTCCGCGCACGCCCACTGCACGTGCGCCAGCTACACGCGCACGCCCACTGCACGTGCGCCAGCTACATACCCTCTCCACCTATATAGACGCCGAAGGCCCTAACTCTCAAGCTGCAAGTCTCTCTCGAAGGCCAGCAAACACAGTACATCCACAGCAGGTTACATCTTCTGCTCCCACTGTGCAGGTCTGCCCTCAAGGAGTGCCCCAGACCTCTCTCATGCAAGGTCAACAACACCCTTGTAACAACGACATCACCAACGTGGCGTACTGGTGCGATCTATCTTACAACTATGACAAGGAGAAGGCGCTTGATACAACAAAGGCCATCAATGCTGTTTCCCATATCAAGTGCCCCGACAAGAAACAATACAAGGGGAACTCTGATAACAGGAGTATCAACTACTTCTTGAGTCTTGTCCGCTGTGAAGCGAAGCAAACAGCGCTGGGCCCTCGATTATCGTACATCTATCTATCCAACTGTCTTAGCCAGTCGGTCAAGAGGAACTTACAGATCCACTTGGAAACTACAATGGGCCCCACTCTCTACTTGAACGACTATATTCTAACACTATCACAAGCACTTGGCTACCTTCAACATAAGTACTCTCTGTCAAATTCACATGCGGAAGTCATGAGATACTTCTCTGACATCAACATTTACGATAAACGCGACCGTATCGAATCTGCTGTTGCTATGTGTGCGAGTGTTGGCCTCCATCTACAACCCAGTCAAGTCAACCTACACTACCGTGAAGGCCTCCATCCCACTCTGAAAAAGACTGCAGACGATAACTACGCGGCCATCAATGGTGTCCAACAGCTTACGCAAGCCCTACGTAGCCATATCCGCTGCAATCCTAAGCTCTACATCAGCAATGCTAACTCAAACGAGGCCCCTCCGGTATCAACTGCTATCCCCACCAACACTCCTAATCCCAAACTGCCTAGGGTTGAAGACCCCGAGACTCTCAAACTCTGTCGAAAGCAAGGGATACGCTTGGCCTGGACAGCTCGCAGGCAGTGCCGCTATGCTGATAATTGCAAGTACAAGCATAGTGACGTAGCCCGTTCACTACTACACCCGAGAGATGACTATCACCTCTCTCCTGGTTCTGACATGGTCTTAAGGTCTACTTTCTGTGCCGACAGCAACTTCTTCATCGTTGCTGACACTGGTTGTACAAGATCTAATATATCTTGGCGACTTACGACGGCCTTACTACAGCATTATCCTGACGGCCAACTCATTCCCTGTGAGATTTCTTTTGACACTGCAACTGCAACCCGGTCTATGAGTTCACTCTACCAACTCAAGATCAACTTTCCCATCTGCGATGGAAACCGTCAAGTCTCAACATTCACATGATTACCGTCTATCATCAACGACGGACTACTACTTCATTCTGATGGACTCCTCGGTATGGATACTCTTCCTATCAATGCCGACGGTCTGCTCATCAACATCAATGGTTCATTGGTTCAAGCTTCAAAATTTCTTTGTAGCTCTCATTCATTGGATGAATATCGATCATCAGGCATCACGTCTTCGACATCAACTACGAGCCCAATCGGTTCATCATTGTCGGAGCTATATATTTGCCCAACAGCCATTCCTTCTCGAGGTCCCAAACGGTCAACATTCAACTGCACGACCTCCACTGCATCTGATCTCTCTACGCCTACTTCATCAACGGCATCATCAGATGACTCTATCGAAGGCCATCATATCGCCGCTCTCAAAGGCAAGGCCTCTAGACAAGACTCGGACGACGCTGTCTCCTATGACGTCGATTCACTGGGCTACACACCACCTAAATTCCCTGAACCACCCGGAGGCTACCAGCTACTCGAGACCATCTACAACAACGAATGGTGTACTATTGGTATCCTTTCGAATAAGGATGGTAACAGAGAGTATTTCGTTGACTATAGTGACCAACTACTGCGGCTAGCTCTAGACAACCAGCCGAAACCGGTTCCTTCTACTCACTATTTCCTCATCAAAGCCAGTGCTGACGAGCGTCAACAAGCAGAGCAGCGCATCGACGCCCTGATCAATGAAGGCAAACTACAACCTACTGGGATTGGTGATATCAACAGCTACACTACAAATTGGTATCCACGTACTGGTCGCAAGCCGGTCAGACCTATACAGCCTACAATAAAGACTAATCACTTGCTAAAAAGGCCAGCAAGAAGTTCCCAAGCAAGGACTGCCAATCCAAGATCCCTCGCATCATCAACAAGTATAGGTCATCTGCTGCTGCTCATTCTATGGATATCAAGGGTGCCTATAGATCCATCAAGCTCGGTTCAAATGTCCAACCCCTCAGTCAGATCAACTACAAGGAAAAAAACTGGACCTACACCTACATGAGTGATGGTAATTCTACTAATCCTCAAGTCCTCGAGATCATCATTGCGCATGCCATCGGGGAACTAGAACGGCTCGGTACTTGCCCCGGGTTACTTGTGAGCTACATGGACGACTTCTTATGCCTTGGTGGCCAGCCTGAAGACATTGAGAAAGTGAAGGCCCACTTTGCAAGCTACGGTATGTATCTAACCACCGAAGACCTCAACGGACCTGATGCTAGTGGTTTACTAGTCCTCGGACATGAGCTTTGCGATGATGGTGACTCTCTTCTACTTCTACCCACAAGTATAAAGATGCCGTCGACTTCGACATCTCCTGCGCAGTCTCCTATAAAAAAGCTCTATCACTCCTCAATATTTTATGGTAGGCTTAGTACCTATTACCATGGCACATTCTCATCATCAAGAACTGCCTGACTGCACTAGTTTCAAGATTAAGAGCTCTGAACGACCACAAATGGACCGATAATGTGGACGATAAGGCTATGGACTTGCTCATAAGATGGCAACAACTGTTAAAGACCAACCCTCCAACTCTGATGCACCGTACATCAATACAGATGCACCTGTTCATGTCTGGTTCGACTCCTCCGAACTCTTAGGAGCGATGGTAACTATGTAGGACAACCAGATTGTATTCAAAAAGCAGTGGAAAATTTCCGCTGGAAATGGTCCATTCAAGAGCGACCCTTGCACATCAACGTGAAGGAACTCACTACTGCCTACAATGCTCCCTCTACTCTTGTCTCCTTCGAGCTCGATACCAATAAGAAGTTCTCGAAGATCATCCTCTACGGCGACAATCGTACAGCTAATGCTGCTCTAGCTTCTGGTAAGGTATCTACTTCTGGTAAGCAATCTACTCTACCTCAACGAACCATCGAGCTTATTCATTACCTTATGGGGAGACGCCAGTTTGAGATTCACTATGTGGCGTCTGCCGAGAGTCCTGCTGATGCCGGCACGAGATGTGACCTCTACAGCGATTTGGTTGAATATCGTGATTCTATCGACGGCGTGAGTCTTGAGATTCTGTCTGATGATGATATCTCAGATATGAGCACTGTTCATGTTGCTAGAATTATACGTAAGCGTGGTGACGAGGACGAAGACACCAACGAGATCGGTGACAAAAGACCACGACTTGAACCACCACTACGAGTTCCCACCAATCCGTTACCACCTCAGGGGTGGTAACGGTTGTAGGGGTGGCACCCCTACAACGACCACCCTATTTTGACATTGTTCAATTATCCTCTAACATGTTGGCCACCTATAGATCTTTACCCCTAAGTGAAGATGGTAGACGTCAACTGGCTGACGGCGATTTTCTGCATAAGTGTGCTGAGTTCTGTCATTTTCTCAAGCATACTGGTGGTCCTGAGATCACCGCTATCCTCAAGTGCTATTTCGATCCGAGGTCAACCACTATCGACTTCGATGAAGCAGCTAAAAAGGCCTCTAGAAGCTGCGTCACTTGTGCTCTCGTCAAGACCGACCCTGGCGATAGACAACCCAAAAACCCCACATCCGACGATATAGTCATCCCTGACCGACCATTTCAAGTAGCCAGTTTGGATGTCCTTGGTCCTTACGTTACGACTACAACACCCAATGGTTCGACCGGTAAATTCTACTCCATCAATTTGGTCTGTCAGATCACTAATCTACACTTATGTTACCCTATTGTTAGTGCGCCGACTGCCATTGATATACAACGAGCAGCCAACCTACCCCATCGGCTCTATCATTACCCACTGTCCCTGAGCTTCAGGGATTGATAACACAAGTAGAACCAGCTTATGGGAAGCTTAACTTATAGAAATTATCAAGTGAAGGGGTAGAATAGCTAGGCTAGACGCCAGCTGCTATTGTCTCCACTATCACATAATTATCATAAAATATACCGGAAACATAGGAATGAACCGCTTGGTCAAACACCCAATATGTCGTTCACAGTCGAAAAGCTCATCATCATTCTTGGGGTAACATTGCTCCAAGCAATTCATAGTAATACAGGGCAGCGTCGGAACAACAAACTGCTTGTCAACAAATACCTTGAAAGCAGCCAGACACTGATCTCTCTGTGCTGCAGTAAGCCTACCAAATGTTCGCTTATCGCGAACATAACAGGTTCGATAATTCAGTGGAGGTCGCCTGGTAGACTCTCGCCACGGTATACCAACCGTTGGCCGACCATCAACGGCAGCACTGTCAGGAATCAAACGAATAGGTATCTTGGGCTCACTACATCGATCACTCACTCGCTGAAGCTCTCCAACCGTACCAATACAACCACAGTGTAGAGCATGTTCTTGACGATCTTTATCCTTATCCTGAAGCACCATAGCACACTTAGGATTCTCATTCCTAGCTACTTTAGAATATCCATATATGAGTCTAGCAGACTCACCAAATATGATCGTCGTATCGCCTTCTGGTGTAAGAGTCCAAGATACCGTTAGCTCACTTAACAGATTATAAGGAACAATAAGACTTCTTATCGAACCACTCACAATAGGCATAATGTAAATACGGTCCATATCAACCCGTGTACTATCATTAAACCAGATAGACACTCCACTAAGATAACCAATCGGACGGACTATAGACCCATTTGCTAAAGTCACAGCAATAAGAGACTCGGATGATAGCTTCCTATAACTACCTCCAAGTGACTCAATCTCTAATGCTAGACCTTCACCAGCAAAGCATGAATCAGCTCCTGAGTCAATGAGTGCTCTTTCCCAAATCCCATGACGAGAATGAGATCGTACATCAGAGAACTCCAAACGAACATCTACATACCTCAGAGCATTAACAGCTGCTCCTTGTAATAACTCAGTGGTTAACGCACTGCCTTCTTGAGTCGAACCTTCACCTTCATGAGCATCTTGATTCGTCGACTCAGCAAAAGAGGTACAAACTGAAATGGGCAAACCACTCTTGCCTTTTCAGTCGAAGCCTCAGAACGCACCACACTGACAGGTGTTTTACCAGCTTTAGCATTCTGGTAAATCTTAACCCTCTCTTCCTTAGGTAAAGGATCTGGCGACATCTCACGCACACCATTTGAGAACCATCTCTGGCCTTACATCTCAGAGCATCGCCAGGGTGTAGGTGTTTAAGACCACATTTATTGCACCTCTCACTCAGGCCAGGTACTATCTTGACCTGGCATGCATAAGTCGCATGATCTTGAGAACGACACTTTTGGCATCGAAAGTTACTCAACTCCAACCGAGAGTACAACGTTGTCTTACCACTATTCTGGTTCAAACTAGGCAATACCGAGACTTCATTAACCTGGCCACCACCACTGGATGAACTCGATGATTTTTTGGACGCAAGATATCCACAGATAGAGCGAGCTTTACGCTTCAATTGATTGAAGGGTAAAACCTCAAGCTCGCCAGGCTGATGGTCTCGCTCGATTCTTCGCGTAATAGCAGGCTCAAGACCATGTAAGAAATACCCAGCTACCTCCTTGCGGTAAGCATTCTCTCCAAGATCATTATCATCCAACAGCTGCTCGGCTAGGTTCATAAATTCATCACAGTAGTCTTCATATCGGGATATAACTGAATCATTACCACCCAACGACATTCGAAGGGTCATCAAGCGACGTCTCACTTGAAAGTAGTCACCCGAAGAAGAATACTCATTATAAAGCACCTTCCAAAACTCTTTCAGCAAATCGCCAAAAGAGCAAGCATCTCGAAAGTGCTTCATATGCTTATCAACAACACGAGCAGGTTTCCCATCTAACAACCGGTAAGCATAAAAATACTGCTCTGCTGTATTAGCGAATCTATAAGCTTGTGTAGTCGAAACCAACGAGAAAAACTGACGAATACCTCTAGCATCAGTATCTCCACGAAAAAGCTCAATTTTCGGATACTGGCTCGATGATTTCCAAGCCCGAGCTACCTTAACAGCATCACCAAGAGCAATATCCTGATTCGGACCACCCAGTTCGGTCTGTTCAGGAAGACGTCGTCTACTCGTCAACTTAGGAGCAATAGAGGGTAAACTCACTTCTCCTTCACCGTCATAAGCAGCAGTCTTCTGACTGTCCTCATCATCCTCTGAGCGCGGGCATCTTCCAATGCTCGACTCAGTCGGCCTCCGTACCTGTTGGTATTCACTCGGTCGAACATTCGCCCCAATTCTATCGACAAGGGTACTCATAGCCTCAGTCACAGCAACACCTACTGCATCACTGACAACCTTCGTTCCACCGAATCCACCATCGGTCTTTCCACTGGGGTCGACATCGACCGTAGTTCGAGGGGTAGGTAGGGGAAGGATGGACTAGGTCGGGCTGAAGAAGATACACTCCCACCATCCTTCTGATCAAGCAACGCATGAGACTCGCTCACAGAAGAACTGTTTGGGAACATAACCAGAATTACCCCTTTCTTGTCCCATCCCACCTGTCCTCTGAGGTGAAGTAGGTACTGGAGGGACAGAAAGAGGAGTAGAAGCATCATCCACAGAACCATCCACACGAGAGAAAACAGCTGCTGAAGAACCACCAGCTACCAAAGCATTTCCAGACAGATCATCTGCTGGGATATCAGCAGTTGGACCACGATGTTGACGGCTAGCAACAAATTGTCCCCTCTCATTACGTCCTCGAGGTAAAACCATCAGATCCCGGTAGAATGTCCCTGAGCTTCAGGGATTGATAACACAAGTAGAACCAGCTTATGGGAAGCCTAACTCATAGAAATTATCAAGTGAAGGGGGTAGAATAGCTAGGCTAGACGCCAGCTACTATTGTCTCCACTATCACATAATTGTGTCGGCGGAGCGAAGTGGAAGGATGAGTATCATCACACCACTACAGGAGATTCTGACTGACAACGCTGGTATCATCAAGTCAGCTTCGAAGTCTATGCCCTCTCTTCAATTCGATTATGTACCTGTTTCTGCATCATGGCTAAATGGACATGTTGAAGCTCGTCATCGACTACTCAACCAACGACTGCGACGTTCTTTCTTGACAGCTGCTTTTGTTGACGAGAAAACTTGGTTTGAGGCTGTCTCTCGTGCGGCTTATGAGATCAACTCTAGCCCCAATCTACTTGCACGTGAGTCACCGCTAGACATGGTTATCGATGGTTCGGGTATTTCTCCTTTCGACACCAGCGAAAAATGTAAGCTTCCAGATGACAAATGGACTATTTGGAGAAAATATAAGCATGACTGTCGTGAACGTACTCTCAAAGCGATGGCCAACGAGACTGCTACAGGACCTCCACTACAAGTTGGTGATTGTGTAGTTGTACACACTACGGAACCTCCCCCGAAGGCCTCCACACCCTGGATTCCAACAAGGAGAGTTATTGTTGAGATAGAAGGCAACCGTGCTTTGCTAGATGATGGTGTATGGCGCTCTACTGATAAGCTCAAGAAGCTAAATGATAAAGTGCTAGCTCGGTATGTATTCAATGATACCCCATATTTCATAACAGTATAACACTCTTGATATTTGCACTACTATCATTAAATTAGTAACTCTCTGGGGAGGACGTGTTCGCGCGCGTATGCACGAATCTCACCCCATTATTCGTTGCATGAAACGGCTCGCAGCCCTCAGGCTGAGATGGATAAGATAAGAAGCCTTATTACCTATTATGGCTATCCCAAGTGTTGTTGAGTCAACCAATGCGGGTGTTACTACTAACAGCTCCGTACTCTGCGCTGAGCCGCACAACGGTCGAGTTTTTGCACCACTCTGCCCTCCACAAGCTCCGTGTAGGGTAACATACAATAATCATATTGAGAATGAATACCACTAACGACAGTCTCACTGTGAAACTTTCACACGTACGAAAATATGCAGCAAAAAAGGATCTTCGTGCAATATCATAGTGTAGTAGGTTCCTAACAGTTACAACAAGATCGTCATCTGAGGACTTCGAGGGCGTAGTAGCCCGGTATTCAGCTACATAATTATTCGCTTCTCTTCCTGCTTTTCCCTCATTGTCGTTGATGATATGGCTCTATGCCATCTCGTGTAGGTATGATTTTCCCTTTTTTCATCATCAACTCGATCCTGCATCATCATCATACATTCGCTCTTCCTATTAGTGTAACACAATCAACAGTAGTTCCTACCAGTAGTATTCGGCTAAGCGAGCAAGAGGGCCTCACTACTACTACTACTACTGCTACTACTACTACTACTACTACTGCTGCCACTACTACTACGATACCACGTGTGATAGTGTATTCAGAGCATGGTAGTGGTACAAGGAGGCTCCTTGAACACTCCTCAACTAGAGGTAATATATTATATGCATCAGGACTATTAGAATTATTCTTATTGTGATCCATTCAGATTATGATCTGAGGAATCGTAGGATAGATGAGAAGGAAGTGGGATTGGGCGAAGCATTATTGGACTTAGCCCAATGTGTTGATAATATACTAGTGAGTTGTTGTTGGGTGGTAGTAGTAGTAGCTAGGTTGATGATATTATCATTATTGGTATAGCCTCTTCCGAATATTGATGCTGAGATTATACAACCAACATCACAATGCAGAATGCAGACAACAACAGAATTATGTCAATTACTTGTAAGTTGCCCATATTATAATGATAATTATTAGTATCACTACAGAGTAAAATAGAAGAAATTTTGTTGACTGGCTCTAATGGTGATAATGATGATGATGCTATGGAACATAAGGATAATGATATCGTCATCATCAAACTGGAGGCTTGCATCATTGACTCATTCGTTGATGGAGAAGGTTGGTGGTGGGATCGGGTTGGAATCCGATGATTGTCATTATGATGATAATCTTCGTAGATCTTGTTTTGTAGGTGGCGAGATATCTACGAGATTATCTAATTCTGCCGATGATAATAATAATAATAATACTAACACCACCACTGATGTGGCTGCTTCAATTGATAATAATCACTATCCACCCAGTGATCCGCTATATCCAAAGCAATGGTATCATGATATAATCAAATCTAATATGGCATGGAACATGACAACAGGCATAAAACATTACGACTCAAGCTCATTCATCATTATTATTATGATAGGTGATGGAGCTGTGATAGTAGCTGTTATTGATTCTGGTATTGATTACACTCATCCTGATCTAGTTGATAATATATGGATTAATAAAGACGAGATACCTGGTAGTAGTAGTAGTACTAATACTAATATAGTAATGCTATGACCAAGGATAAACACGGTTTGAGGTATTCATGATTATAATGATAGGTGATAATATTGATAATGATGCTAATGGGTTTATTGATGATATATATGGATGGAATTTTGTACATAACACCAATAACATTATGGACGAGTAATACAAGTGAGAAGGAATACACGTGTTATGAGCATTAGTAGTAGCTGTTGATGTTATTATTATTGTTAGTAATGGGCATGGTACACATATAGGAGGTATTATTGGTGCAAAGGGGTCTAATAATATTGGTGCTACTGGTATTGCTTGGGATGTTGCTATAATGCCATTGAAGTAATATTACTTAATGAGTTACGTAATAATCAACTACTACTACACAATACCAGTAGTAGTAGTATTATTATTATGTTTATTAGGTTCCTAAATGCAGATGGAATTGGTAGAGTATCAGATGCAATGAGAGCACTCGATTATGCTATACAAATGGGAGCAACAATATCACAGAACTCATGGACATGTCATAAATGTGATGATACTACTACTACTAACTATAATGCAATAAAGATGGCAATACAGAAAGCAGGCAATGCTCATGGGTAGGTTGGGGGATGGGAAAGGATGATGATGATGTTGATGATGATGTACTCGTCCATTAGACATGTATATGTAGCAAGTGCTGGTAATAAAGGAGTTGATAATGATAATCCACTTGAGACAAGTATACCATGTTCCTTTAAATTGGATAATATCATATGTGTTGGTGCTACTAATGCTGATGGTAAATATACTACTTGGTCTAATTGGGGTAAAACAACAGTTCATCTAGCTGCTCCTGGCAAATCTATATACTCTACTAAACCTGGCTCTAAGTGAGTTATCATCATCATAATAATAATAATGAATGAATAAGATTATTATTAGGTATGGATGGAAAAGTGGTACATCTCAATCAGCACCAATGGTAGCTGGTGTTGTTGCATTAATTAGATCAATTAATTTTTATGCAACACCAGTTGATATTAAGAATGCAATAATGAACTCAGTGGATACCGATCCAAACCTAGAAATGAAGGTAATGATGTGAGTAGTAATAGTTATTAACAACAACAACAACTTGGGCTTAATATTATCATCTCTTTAGTGTCTCTCGAGTGGTATATTAAATGCATATAGAGCATTAAATACTGTCATACACAACAACAACAAGAACAAGAAGAAGAAGAACGATCATCTTCACAAATCAAAGACATCATCATCAGTAATTAACATCATCATCTCCACCACCACCACCATGAACGATGATTATATCTGTGGTGATGCTTTCTGCAATAAGTACGTGGGGTCGGTGATGACAGGTAGCAGACCTAATGATGGTGGTGGTGGATACTGTAACATTCACACACTTCCACATCCCATTTGTGAAGGATCCTTAATCAAATGTAATCCATGTAGTAATGAGACTTATAAACAGTCTATTGCTACCACCACGGGTTTAACACCACCACAACAAGATGATGATGAGGTATTAGAAACAGTGAGTACTACTACTTCAACATCATCATCATCGAGGATATTATTACTCTGATAATACAATAACGCTTATTTTTATAGCCGTAAACAACAATTAGATCAGATTCTCATGTAGCCAACCATTCATCATCATTATTATTATGCTATTATCTTTACTCTAGTCATAATAGTGTTCTTTACTCTAGTAATCTTAATGGACTATCATGCAAATGATAATGATGATGTACGTCATTGAAAGAGTTGTTGTGTTTTAGTAGAGTAGTAGTAGGAGCCGTGTACCCTTATAATGGATACACTACATACACTGCAATGCACCAGTATACTCTTGTATATGGCTACTCATCATCATAATATGTTTCATCATCCTTTTATCATCAATAGTCTCTTTCTCATACCCATACCACTAACAATACTATCACTATCAGCGACATATCGTCTTAACCACGACCATCACACTCTCTACTACTA